TCTCAAACGTGTCAAACACACACACTCAACAAAGACAACACAACCGCAGCAGCCACAAAATCCCTCTTGAGAACTGGGGGCGCCCAAAGTCTATTCTTTCTGTGGTGAGCTGCACAAGCAAGAGGGCACAAGAAGAGAGTCCGACTAGGTTCTAATTCCAGCTGTGCCACATCTTAGCTCTTTGTGTGCAAAGCCTTTCCCTTCTCTGGTACTGCTTCCTCCCTGTAAAGGGGGCTGTCTGGCTGCCACATAGTGTTCTTGTGAGAACTATAAGGAAAGCCTGGTGGGTGAATGTGTAAATTCTATCCAAAGGAAAAGTATTCTTGTCTTTCCGCTCTCTGGGTCATGCTGATGTTGACTTTTTAATTTAAAGCTGTACTGGAAATATCGTTGAAGTGGATGGGCTGCTATCAGGAGAAAGTTTCAACCTAACCAGAGATTATTGTGGGTATGTAGGGATTGGTTTTGTGTAACTGTCTCCTCAATCTATCCAGGTTTCACAGGCTCAGCAGAACTATCTAGAGAATCACATCCAAACACAGTCGTCAGCCCTGGACAGTTTTAATGCCATGAACTCAGCTTTGGCGTCAGACTCCATTGACCTACAGGTATTCCTCTGCTTCCTCTTAGCCAGGGTGCCCTCCCGGAATCTCCTCAGCTCAGTACTCAGAATGCTTTGAGCATGGCCACAGTGGAGGCTCTGGAGGAAGTTGAAGGAAGTGCTTCCAAGCTGAGACTCTAAACCTTTGTGTGGCAGTTGTTTTTGCCCCCATTAAAATGGAGGTTTAGATCCTGAGTTTTGTGCTAAGATGTCACCTGCTGCACTAAGATACCCAAGTGGTCTTAAGTGTCAGTGACTAAAACAGCACATCAGCCCCCACTCCCGGTTGCCCCCTCACCCCCCTTTTGTTACAGGAAGTTATACCCAATCACAGAAAATACAAAATTAACCAAAGACAATCTATATTCATTCATGGCAGGTAACTCCCAAAGGCTGTTTTTCCTAGTGTAGAAATTATTTTGCATTCAAAGAAATCAGGTGCATTTTGAAGAATCTCTTGTGTATCAGACAGGGAAGCAGAAAGCCTGCGGAGTCTACATGTTTGCATATGTGTGTTGTCAACCCGCTTCAGGGGTCTTGCTCTCTTGATTTGCCAGAAGTTCACCCCTTAGCTGCTGCCCATGGTTACTCTTCCAGCTGAGCCCGCCATCTGACATTTTGAAAATGTTCAAAGCAAAGCATTGTATTCACCTGAGACAGCGTCCCTTGTCTTTAGTTTTCTAATATGCAAGCCCCTCCTCCAACTGTATTTGGCTCTTATCTTTTTACCCTCCCCTTAAAAGTTCCACAAGCTATTTCATATCCTTTCTGGTTCTATATAAATAATTTATCACATAAGCAAACAAATTTTCATGTTAGCATTTTCCACTTCCCCTAGAACCCAGTTATTCTCTAATAATAACTGTGGTGGCAGCAGTGCCACAAACAAAGCTAGGCCACTGTCCCACAGTGGGCCTGGGTGTGCCTCTTGTTTGGATTTGTCTGGGACGCCCGTTTCTGGTGGGGCCTCTGTGTCCCACCCTTTTCCTGGCTCCCCGTACAGGGTTCTCCCCTGGCCTCAGGCCACGCCCTCCTTTGGGTCTGGTTTATTCAGTAGCCTTTGTTTTCCCTGGCTCCTGTTACCAAGGGGGCTCGTGAAGACTCCCTTTCTATTCCTCTTGAACATTTTGCTCCTGGCTAACCAGGAAATGAGGTACCTCACCAGAGTCCAGACCTGGTTGGTATCTGCACTAAGTTTCTGGGTTTTCTTCCCCCCTAGTAGCCCTGATTTGCCATCCCACTGACACGCCAGGCATTTACTTCAGAGGTCAGCTGTTAGAACAGGATCGACCATATTCCAGGTACGCTGATTGATTCCTAGTTATGGTCCTGTCTCTCAGCCCAGGGCACACAAAGGAGACTTGTGATGAAAAGATTAAAGACCATTGTTAAAAAGAAGGAGAAAGAGAGGAACAGGAGGAAGAGGGAGGAGATAAAAAAGGAGGGAAAAAAGGGAGAAAGGAAAGGCACCATCTCACAGCCAGGAAACTCAAATGAACCTGAAGATAATTGGCTTCTTATTTCTGCAAGTCCCCAACTTCTTCCCTTGTCCATTCTACCCATTTTGCACTATTATTAACAGTGAGACCAGATTCTGGGTTCAATGTCATAAAATGTCAGAGCTGGAAACAACTGTTGAGATGATCTCCAACCCCCTTGTTTTGTGGATAAACAAACTGAGGCCAAAAGAGGGAAATGACTTCAACAAGGCATCTAGCTAGTGGCAGAGCCAGCACTAGAACCCTGGTCTCTTAGTCCAGACATAGGTTCATGAGCACAAGAGGAGTATCTGTAAAGCCAGTGGGGCTTGGAGAGCGGCTGGTTGGGCCAGGTTTCTACACCCACTTCCGGCTGCAGTGTTCTGTGATTCCGTGCTTCCAAATGGCTTCCCGATTTACCACCATCGAAACTCCTGTTTTTGATTCAAACAGGTTAAGGAATGAGGCCTCTTCTCCAAAGTGGAGGCAAAGGAGTTGAGGAAGCTTCATCAATGGATCATCTACAAAGAGAACAAGGATGTTAGAAAGTGTGTCCAACACCAGAGTTTCCAAATCTTATGATTTAAAGTTGTCATCTACTTGGGGAAGTGACAGAAGGTGTCCAGACCCCAGTTTCCAGTGGCAGGAATTCTGTGTTCTGGAAGCCATTTTTCTGTAAGGAGAGTTAATGAAGCAGAGCCCGAAGCATTAAGTAGCAACAATACTAATTTAAACATTTTTGCCACAGTGGGTGACCTGGAGCAATAAGCGCTAGGCTTTTGACACTTGTCAGGCACTTATGTAGGTCACCAAACTCT